AGTACCTAGAATAGTACTTTTAGTGTGAATTGGGTAATTTTTCTGTTACAAAATTTTTTTTCAGCTTTGCCCTATTTTCAGTTAAAATTATTACTTTTGCGAATTATATTTTATGCAAATTTAAATAAAATTGAACAGTTCAGCAAATGAAAAGAAAAAGTCTATGTACTCTAGCAGTTAAACATTTAAGGCTCTAGACATGGATAAATTTTGTTAGAATCCCTGATCAAACACTTATTAGCTGTGTGATCTTGGGGTAGTTACTTAGCCTCTCTAAGCATCTGTTTCTTCATGCATAAAATGGGAATAATAATAGTACGTTATTAATATGGTATTTTAAGAGTTAAATGAGATAATATATGTAAAGTGCTTACGTATGCCTGGCATATAGTATGTGCACAATAAATTTTAGTTATTATGATTAATAAAAATCATGTAAATCCCTCTACCTTGAAAAAAAACATTTGTTTATATTTTGTTACACCCTTCTGAATATTGCTGTATGTCAATATATCTATATTGTGAATGGTTGTCAGATTGATTAGTTATTTTCCTAATATCACTGATGATCATAGGTATAAGAACTCAGGAGGTGAGAAGTCTTGGCTTTACGTAGTGGTATCACATGAAAAGGACAAGGAAAGAGTAACTCGAAAGACTGTGTTAGAGGGTGCAAAATGGTCATGAATAAGACCCATTGAGCCATAATGTGCAGTGATTTTTAAACCAGATAGTACTTGAATTGACATTTACTCAGTAAAAATTCATAGAAGGAAAACTTTGAAATAATTGATAAATAAGTTGCAGTTGCTTTGCTTAGGTTTGCTCCAATATGGGGATGATGGCAGGTGCAGAGAAGATGGTTGAATGCCTTCTCAGATCAGACAAGGAGAACTGGCCTAAAACTTTGAAACTTGCTTTGGAGAAAGAAGAGAGCAAGTTCAGTGAACTGTGGACTTTAGAGAAAGGTAGGATATCCCAAGGAAGAGCTCTGAAGGGAGAAGGGGGAGGGTCTGAAAACATGCTGTGTCCTCCTCATGGTTCCACATAAGGATTCCCTCATTCCTACCCATTTTCTACTTACTGTGAGAAATGTTCTTCCCTTCCATACCCAGGGCTGCATTTCTACTGAGAGACTAGCATAAAGTTGAATTCTGGGAGGAAGGTAGCTTCTTGCCTATGTAATAGTTTGATTGTATATAACCCCTAAAAATGGATCAGGGCAAACTGCTGTTATCCAGAATTAGCCCATTGGGCCCAAAGGACTTGGGGAAGGCAGAATCTGAGCTCCCAGAGAAATAGCTTGAGAATTCTAGAGTTAAATGTTCAAACTCCAGGATTTGCCCTCTTTTCAAAGTAGAATCCTGATAGATATTGCCTGGTTCCCTCTCCTAGAAGCCATCTGGAACTAAACCAGAACAGGGGTGAATGAAGAATTTGTTGTGACTAGGTGTCTGAGCCATCATTTGATTTAAACTAACATCTTCTCAGAGCATTGTTTCAAAGGCTGAGTTTGGTAAATGTCTGATTATCCGGTCTTAGCTTTGCCTAGGCTTCTAAGATCATAAGTTGTTCCAGAAACTATATAAATACACATCTGATTTCCTGGGTCAGGGTTCAGTCAGGAATGGAAGATGTGAATGTCTGCTGAATCATGCTTTTATTCTTTAGTGTGCATGTGAGTCCCTTGGAGATCTTGTTAAAATGCAGATTCTGATTCAGTAGGGGCTTTAGATTTACATTTCTAACAAATTTCTGAAGTTGCTGGTCCATGTTCTACACTTAGAGTAATGTAGTCTTAAATGACATTGGAGTTCAAATTCCAAATTGGAATTTCAAACTCAAAATGATTCTTTTAATTGTTTTAAAAGGTGAAGGGGAGTGGTTGTGAGAAATCTTAATGGAAGTTTAAAATGTTAGTGTTGTGACCTCTTTCTGGGGCTTTCACCATCAAAACTATCATCAGATTATGTTCAGATTCTAAGATGTTTTTTGGCCTCATAAAGGTGAAAAAGATGTTGAAAGTAAAGATCTTGAGGATGATGAAATGGAAACTTCTGACGTGCAGATTTTCTACCAGGAAGATCCAGAATTCCAGAACCTTAGTCAGAACTCATGTCCACCTTCAGGTACCCAGCACTGTTTATTCTTTACCAAATGATGCTCTTCAGGTGTTTTGTGTGGGCACATGTTTTTCAGTGCCAGCTGTCACAGCCTTAACAAAAAGGTTTTAAGAAAACTTAAGAAAGAAAAGAGAATTTATGTTAAAATAGATACTTTTTCTATAATTGAAAATGTCATTCTCTCCTTCCATAGTGGCTTCTTCTGCTTTATCTTCTTCTTCTTTTTTTTAGTCTTTTATCACTAAGAAAGTATGTGCGTGTCTACATTGGAAATGCAAAGAGAGTCCTCGCAGAAACTCAATGTGTATGAAATCAGCCTTGCTTCTGAAAGAAATACTTCTACTATTTTTGAGCCACTTGCTCAATTTCCTTTTAAGATCCTAGAGCTGCCATTCAAGTTGATGAAGTTGTGCACTGCATAGAAGTGCCCATAAAACTTAAAGTTTGAGTGGGGGCTGA